ATATATATATATATATATATATATATATATATACTTTCTTTAAAACTGCAAATCTGTAGAATGAATGACATTTACTTGTGATATCATATTGAAAATTTTTGTTCACTTAATAGGCAGTTACGTTTTTATCCTATTTTTTTTTTATATCTGTCAAATGATAGTTTTTAAAACAATTATGGACAACTTTAGAAAAATGTAAAGTGGCACCGCGAATAAATGAAAATAAATCTCATCGAATTTTGCAGGGCGTTCATCTTTTTCGTTCAAAAAGATTTAGGCTTCAATGGAAGAGCGGAAATTGCAATCTTTAAAAATGTATCGACAAAGATAGTCACAAAAACATTACAAAAGAAAAGCAGAAATAGTTTATAAAAATCTCTTTACCTCCTATAAGATGGCATTAGGTTTTTGTTTTCAAGATTCGCAACTAAGCAAATTCTGGTATCCATAAAAAAAAAACTATTTGTACTTTTCGTGTACTTTGTGTTTGTTTCGGTGATGTATCGAAATTCGGATGCACCTTCAAAGTTTAGTGTCTTTTTCTACTCAAGTGCACTCCAGACATAAAATTTTTTTTATATATATATATATATATATATATATAATCCATCAATAGTACGCTTGTTATGCCATATCAGAAAGTACCTGACTCTCCCCTGTCATGTGTTATCTTTACAAGAGTCTGATAAAAAAAAAAAAAACAAATGGAATAGTACTTCCATATTTAGACTGGAGCAGCCCAAGTCTCTTTGCGCAGTTCAAAAGCATTTACACGGCCTTGTGGGTGATGAATTATTTTGCACCCCCTCATGACAAGCCCTTTCCCACAAATACAACATTGCTAGCCTATTGTTACTCTATCACTATTTCTATTGTAAATTTTCTGACTAGCTACATTCTTTAGTTCTACCTGTTCAGGCCTTTAAAACTAAGACCCTATATGACATCTACACAGAGGCGAACGGCCGTCATTCCTCTCGTATTGCTATGGTAAGAGAGAAGTTCCATTTCGTTAAATTCTTATTTGTCGAAAAAACTCCCAAGAGGATGCTTCCTTGATCAGCTCTGTCTTAATATTTTCAAGACCTGGGTCAACAATTATCTATTCTACATTTCGTTATAATCTACAATTTTACGGGCATATAGCACCCCATGTGGTAACTCTTTTCAGTGAATAGTTATTGGGCCTTGTATTGGGTGAAAAATAGATAAAAAAATTCGAAATGTCTATTTTATTTGTAACAGGTATGTATATATAAATACATAAATATCCCCATACAGACAGTTTCGCTAAATCACAGACCATCAGTGTGATGGACATGCGATTGCTTCAATCGCACGGCAGAGAAAGGAAATCTTTTAATGTATTATATAAGTGATGTATATAAACGCTAGACACGCAACCACAGCGTTCAATTCTGACGAAGAGCTATCACTATATATATATATATATATATATATATATATATGAAAAAATTAACCTGTAGAAAAAGACAATATTTATATATATAAAAAACAATAAAAAAACTGTAATATTAGCCGACGCAAAAACGAAATGTATTTATTAAAACAAAGTAACTAATAATAACGAAATAAAATGTCTAACAAATACAAGAATTTAGAAAACGTTATTATATTCATATTGTCAAATGAAAATTACGTCAAGTGCTGTCATGTGTGGGAATATTGTTTTTATTGTTGTGTTGACGGATTCAACCATTTTCTTTTGATTTCTTGAGAGAGTTGTGTACGTTTGTTTGGGAGAGTAGTAATTCTGTTAGGAAATGTGACAAAGAAAAAAAAGCCTGGGCATATTTGGATAATATTTAATGGCGGCACTCTCGAGGATTTTTCTTCTGAGTGAGTTTTTTCTTTTTTTATGAGTGTAGCATTTTTAAAATCAAAATTGTGGTTGAAATTATTTCTATGTATGATTAGTGCATTAGTTAAGTTGATTTTTGTGATGTCTCTTTTGTGCTCATAAATGCGTTTTTTTTTTTTTAAATTTCTACTTGTTTCTCCAATATATTCGGAGTAACAGTTTTGGAAATTTATTTTATAAATGCCTGCTTCAAAAATATTATTGCTATTAGTGTTTGAGGATCTGAGTATATCCATAATAGTTTTGGAAGTGTTTGTGACTATTTCAAGATTATTCAGATGTGATAGCTTGTTCTGGATAGAAGAAGTGACAGAGTTGGTCGGTAGTATTATGCATCTGTTTTCATGTCATTTATCATTGCGGATTATGTTTCAGTTGACAATATGAATATAATAGCGTTTTCTAAATTCTTCCAGTTGCTAAGGACATTTTGTTTTGTTATTATTAGTTACTTTGTTTTAATAAATTTGTTTCGTTATTTTGCCTTGAAAAAGTCCACAATTTAATATTAGGCGACGCGTTTCGTGCAGTTTTCCTATTGTCTTTATCCACTGTGCCATGTGTCTGTGTATGAATTTCTGGGTATTATAAACCTAATGTCATCGGCAATCATTTTTTACCAGTGCTCATATTGCAATTTTTGCTGTTATCATATCATGTTTTTACCAGTGCTGATATTGCAATTTTTGTTATTATTATCACTTTTTTCTGGCACTCCTTATTACTGGCTTCCATATTGTATTCATTTCTATGCTTGGTCGGCTCAGGATATTTTTGTGGCCTGGCATATGTGCTGATTCCTTAAGTTTACGAATTTTAATAAAGGCTTCAGTTCGACATTCCCACCAACTGAAGAAGGCCGGAGCGTACAATGGCCGAAACTTTGTAATAAATATGGCGACAAAGATGAGGACAATAGTTTCGAATAATGTATATATATATATATATATATATATATATATATATATATATATATATATATATATATATTTAGTATAGGTAATAGATATACTGGTATATAATCCAGGTGGATCCTAATAATATCAAATATTAAAACTGATCTACAAAGGGAGTTCAATGTATTTATTATAACAGATATATATATATATATATATATATATATATATATATATATGTGTGTGTGTGTGTGTGTGTGTGTGTGTACATTTATTATTAATTAAATTATATCAAGCACTTAAAATCCCATTGGTAATAATTTTTATTTCATGAGAGCTCTAAAAAAGATCAGCTCTGAAACTTCAAAAGCAACAAAGAAATCACAAATGAAATGGAAAAAAATATACCGGGTTAAAAACAAGGGATATTGTTTTTCCGAAAGTGGGGGAAAGTGTAGAGAGTGTTGACCTATTTTGACATACTGACCTCAGTATGTCATTAAGTGTGAGTGAATCTGAAACCAGCATTGAACAGCGACGTTATAACAAAGAATGCCACCCTAATGATCGTCCGACCTTAATGAAGGACCGTGATGGTTGACGTGATAGACTCGTGAATGCTCGAGTTAAAATAATTGTCTATATTTCTGAGATGAGGTACTAAGGACATTTTCCAATCTCTTAATACTTTACTTAGTTTCTGAAAAGCATCTTTTCTTATCCCTAACTAACAACTGATTTCTCTGTTATTATTATTTTATTATATATTATTGACATTATTCGGAGTATTGTCCTCATCTTTGTTGCCATATTTATCACAACGTTTCGGCCGTTGTACGCTCCGGCCTTCTTCAGGTGATTAGAATGTCGAACTGAACTCTTTATTTCGCACGCTGGGGTAGACAGTTCTAGTTCCACGTGCCATGTCTAATGAATGTCAGTTATCAGTTATCTGTTAATTCACTTCTCCAAGTTCTCAACCGCCTTAACCAGGTATTGAACTCACAACTCTTTGCGTCCTGTCACTGGATCTAACCAACGTCTTTATCCACTGTGCCATGTGTCCTTAAGGACAATCACCTGAAGAAGGGCGGGGCGTACAACGGCCGAAACTTTCTGATAAATCTTTCTCACTGTTATTTACGGTGTCAGAGACAAGACAGATTTTCCCGTAATATGGTCTACCTGGAAAGAAACCATGCTGGTATTAATAAGAAGCGTTGAAATTAACGCTTGCCAGATTTCAGAGCTCTAGTTTCACTCCTCAACGGCCAGCCAATAAAACATTTCAGACCACTCTTGTATATTTTCATGATACAATTACCGTATTTCCCCACATATAATACGCATTTTCTTCTAAAAAAATAATAAGCAAAATCAGGGGTGCGTATTATGAGCAGGTACAAAAAATCTTAAAAAATTGCGGTAAAATAAAATAAGAATTATCATAAAACTAAATAAAAATAATAAAAATAATATTATTCTGTGCTTAAAACCATTTTTTAAATAAGTGTAGGAAATTCTGGCCGTAATGAAATTGGAGAGGTACAATTTATAGGGTTTGATTACCAAAAAAGGGATGCGTATTATGCGTGAGTAGAAGCATTTTCCCACGCTTTCAGCACAATTTCATGTGCGCGTATTATGGACGAAGGCGTATTATATATGGGGAATTACAGTAATTCTGAGGTGTACGAATGTCACATGACTAGATTACGTGCTTTGCCTTCATCCAAGCATGTGTGCCTGTAGGATATATTAATTAATACATAAACTCCTAGATTGAAATCCAGATCGATTCGTCGACGTGGTGCTAAGTTCTCGGAACTGCACTTGATAACCGTTAGGATAACAGCACCGGAAGACATTGAACCAAGAATGGTGCACTAAAAGATCGACATAGGGAAAGAAGATGCGTGTATATGAAATTAATTATTTAAAGTTCATGTCGTCTTTTTATTTTACAAAACGACCGATCGGTTTGTTAGGTGCAAATGAACTAACCCGCCATGATGAGATTTAATTAGATAAATGCTGAAGAACAATGACTCGCTTTTCAAGTGTTTTGAAAGAGAAACGGATTTGCATGAAGGACAGAGAAAAAGAAAGGATAAAAAAATTCGTCGATATTTGGAAATTATTTAATCAGATATCAAATAAATTATCAAAATTAGCTTCTATAGCTTTCACAATGCAAGTTTGATAGATTTAATTTTATTATGATGTTTATTGAATCCGTTCTTAATCTATCTATCTATCTATCTATCTATCTATCTATCTATCTATCTATCTCTTTCTTTCTCGTTCTGTTACTATCTATCTCATTCTTTCTTTCTTTCTTTCTCATTCTGTTACTATCTATCTATCTCATTCTGTTTGTTTTTTTCTTGCTATGTACCTATCTCATTCTGCCTTTATCTATCTATCTATCTATCTATCTATCTATCTATCTATCTATCTCTGAATGTTCAAATATGTATATACAGTGCGAACTTATCCTTATGAGCATCTAACGGAAAGATGGATACGGCATGCCAGTGATAATAACAATGTGCTGTTGAAATGGCCATCACGTTCACCTGACTTGACACCTTGTGATGTCTTCCTATGTGAAAGGACACGTTGATATCCCCACTCTTCCTACAATCTTACAGGTGCTGGAGAATGTTGCATAAGACATGCTACAGAGTGTATGGCAGGAGCTGGACTACAGAATTGACGCGTGCTGTAGCACAGGTAGTGGGCATACTGCATATTTGGGAAGCTTTGTGAAATCGGTTATAGAATCTAAATCCCTTTGAATATCTTGTTTGAATTTTGAAAGGAACAAGATTTCAAGACCTGGAGGAAATCCAAGAGGATATGACAGGGCAGCTGCTCGCTATCTGAAAAAAGGAGTCCCAAGTATGTTTCCATCAATGGAAACGAAGCTGGATTAAATGGGTGGCTTCAGAAGGGAATTATTTCGAAGAAGATTAAGAGCTGAATGAATATGTGTTGTAGTTTTCTGTTTTTTAAAATATCTCATATAGTATTATATAAAATCTCTGTGAGAATAATACAGTTTATTATTCTTTTCTTTAAGCTGTTCTGTTTCTTTCGTGGAGTAAGGTGTTATTACATCATGGATGTAATAATGCCTATAATGGGGAAATGTCAACTGAGACTGTTACGTTTTGCTTAGTACACTCATTACCGGGCAATAAGTGAGTATAGCATGTATATAGTGTAAACAGTTACCATATATCATCTCGGAAATATAGACAAATCCTGAAGAAGGCCTGAGCGTAAAACATCGTGAATATGACAATAAATATGAGGACAACAACTCGAACACTGTAAATAGTATAAATAGTGACAATACCTCATCTCAGAAATAAAGACAGATTCTAAAGAAGCCCGGAAATGTCGTGAATATGAAAATAAAGATGAGGACAACAGTCCGAACAATGGAAATATAATAAATACCTTCAATACTTCAATTCAGAAATATATGATTTTATTTATATATTTTAATATTATATTTTATTGGATACACGTGCTTGAATAGAGAGTATATATAACGCCATCCACAGACAGACTGTTTCGCAGCTCATCAGTGTGGCTAGACATCCGGTTGCCTCTAGCTAGGATCGAAACCCGACTGAATTGGTGTCAGTCGGAGATTCTAACCATTAAGTCGTCGGCACACGGTAGGGATGAAGGTGGATTTTAGCGTATTTATTTATAGAAACACGCCCAGTGACCGACAGTGACTCACTTCGCATTTGCGAAGAGTCTCGCTATATAGCTATAATAGTCACTGTTTACCAACCCACACCTCCTCCCCAGAGAACTCAACTGAAATTATTAATTGATTTAAAATATGAAACCATAATTTAAATCAATTAATTTATAATATTAATGCTCTGTAAATTTACATTGAGCACTATTTTGTAATTATATATCTTTTTTTTTATATATATATATATATATATATATATATATATATATATATATATATATATATATATAAAATCAGATATAAATAAAACAAGAGTGTGAGTTTAATACCTGGTTATAGCGGTGGAGAACTTGGAGATGGAAATTAACAGGAGATAACTGATAACTGACATCCATTAGACATGACACGTGGAACTAGAACAGTATACCCCAGTGAGCGAAATAAAGGGTTCAGTTCGACATTCTAACCACCTGAGGAAGGCCGGAGCGTACAACGGCCGAAACGTTGTAATAAATATGGCGACAAAGATGAGGACAATAGTCCTAATAATGTAAATAGTGTACATAATACTTCATATCAGAAATATAGGCAGATACTGTAAAAAGACAGTATGAATTATAACAAAATGAAGACTGCTATTTACCAACGTGTTTCGTTCTCTGATGGAAGCTTGCCTTGATAAAATATACAGAGATTGTAACCGGTTTATTAAGAATAGTTTTCCTTTTGTTTTTATTCACACACACACACACACACACACACATATATATATAATATATATATATATATATATATGCAGAAACTTTGTCAATCCAAGCAAGGAAACCAACTTATTAAGTTATTCATTTGACGATGATACGTTGTTGATATTGCAGAATATAATTCTGTAGAGTTTGTGAATGGCAGAATCAAAGAGAACAGATTTCTACTCTGTCATCCGAATCTCATGTCGCGTTTGACCTCCAACGGAATCCCTTGTTACTTAGGTGAATGGCGTCATCTGAGAGGTCAACGTTTTATCAAAAGGGATAATGTCGCTCTCAAAAATAACATTTGATTAGATAGAAGTGAAAAGTGTCTGAGACTTATAAGATTTAATCATATCAGTTCGTGACGATACCATTCTGTCTGCTTAACCAGCCTCGCATACCTTCTCTATCTATTTCTATCTCTTTTTTAACTTATATTCGCTGCCTCCCTTACCATCTCGCTCTATCTTCTAACGTATTTATCCCGGATCACAAACGACTCCTCTACTCCCTCTCTTTCAACTTCTTTTCTCTCTAACACACACGCTCTCTCTCGCTCTGCCAGCTTATTTTGCCATTTTACATAAGCTATTTCTCTTTCTTCCAAATTATTTTTTTCATCGACCTTTTTTCTTATCTCTTTCCGTTTTTAAATCTTTCGAGTTTTTACTTATTTTCTTTCTCTTTTTCTCCTTATATTCTTCTTTTTCTATTCAATTTGTCTCCATTTTTCGGCGCTTTTACTCTTTCTTCCTCACTCTCCTTTTTCTCTTTTTTCATTCCAGTTTTACTCTTTCTTCTTCATTCCCTACTTCTCTTTCTTCTTCTTCACTCTATTTTTCTCTTTCTTTTTCACTCCTATCTCTCTTTTATCACTCCTCTTTTCTCTTTTTTTTCACACCCTTTTTTCTCTTTCTTCTTCATCCACACTTTCTCTTTCTTTTTCACTCTCTTGCTATTTTTTGCTTTTTGTAACTACTTTTTCTATCTCTCTTTTTTTTTCTCATTTTCATTTTTTTCGGATTTTCCGAATGCGCTGGCCGATGGGCATAACACACACTATTTAAAGATTGGGCGTCTATTGCAAATAAGATTATCCACTATAATAACGTTTGAAGTAATATTATATATATATATATATATATATATATATATATATATATAAAGTATATATTTGAAGTGTATATATATATATATATATATATATATATATATATATAGATGCACTTATTTGGGTAAATAATCTCTTTTTTTTTTTTTTTAAATACGCACTATTAATTAAATTTACCGGCCTGAATGTTGAAAAATTTCATAGAAAATATGCGCCCTCCGACAGGAATCGAACCTGTATCCTATACGAAACCATCATTAAGTTTGGTGTGCTACGAAATTTTTCGAACATTCAGACCCGTAATTGGAATTAATTCTGTTCAATTAAAAGAACAGGCCATTTACTCAAATAAGGGCATACATAAAAAATAGCCTATAAACAGAAAATATATTAAATATCTGTCGCATTTAATCCATTTCCTATTATATATAGATATATATATACTCATGCGATTTTTATCAAATGACCACTTATCGCTTTATTTTTTTATAGAAAAACTAATGAACGCTATTAGAACTTTTAAATCATTGCTTAAATGTTGGAAAGTTCCTCTTAACCACATATGAGGAGTAGGAGGCGTCTTCTTTTCTTTTTATATATATATATATATATATATATATATATATATATATATATATATATATATATATATATATATATATCAATCTTGGTTCCATATATATATATATATATATATATATATATATATAAAATTTGTATGAAGAGGGTGCTGAAAAATGACTGGCTTGTCCCACTTTCTAGAAATCTTACTAAATCAGTAAACATCAGAATGTTTATTCTGGAAGGACTTATTAGTAAAATTGAGAACTTTTCAGCAGTCCTCATTAATTTACTATAGTTAGTATTGTAGCAGTAAAATCATCATTATCTCCAAAAAAATTCTTACAATACAAAAATAATTTCTGGCTTTAAATAAAAGGTTGATAAGCCATAAAAAGCAAATCACTCAATTGTTTTCCATCTTCAGATTCGACAGGAGTTCCGTTTCAACCTAATATTAGAAGATACTGACAATGAAGATCTAACAGACGGCAACTGATTAATTAGTACTGGATGGTGAAATGTGTAAATTGATGGCGACAATAAATATGGAGCCAGGATGTAGTGTTTATCTTTGACGAAGGTCAGATGACTGATAGATACAGGTTTATCTGATTAGGACGGCGTAAAGTTAACGCCTTCTGGCGTAAACATAATATTCAGTTGAGCGACACGCATGGTCGTATATTATTTGCTGGCTGCTGCTTGAAAAAGAATCCTATTTGTTTTGTTCCACACAGATACAAAAAAGAAATATTAGTGGCATTGGTCGTGTCAACGGCTGTCGTGAAGCTAACGTACCGTATAACAGAAGGAAATTATCACATCTGCCGCTATGTCGGCCTGTGGATAAAATTTCCTCAGCAGCAGGAATTACTTTGGAGTTCAGAAATGGATTCGTTTCATCTTTTCAGAAGGATTAATAAAACTTGTTGGCAAGTAAGATTATGAAATGGATTGCTGAATCCATATATATATATATATATATATATATATATATATGTATGTATGTATATGCACATTTCATTGAATACGACAGACAAAGTGCTTTTATTTATTTTTTATACAATTTCTCATCCGATCTAATATTTTTTTTTTCTTTTCGGATGATAAATTATATAAAAAATATCCGAATGTTCTTTTTATCCGAGCGCTTTCGGCTATACATTTAGCCACTTTCAAGGATTAAATATTTGAACTGTTAAATAAGAAATAGTTTGTTGCATGTATGCATTTATATAATGCTTTCATTTTTCAAAACTCGGTCAAGATATTTTGTCCATGTTCATAGTTAATATAATTAAGTGATGATTTTTTGTTTTTATTAAATACGACTTCCATTATTTTAGCTTTTTTTGCATGTACATTATGCTATTTATTATATTAGTGTTGTCAACAAGTATGTTACGAATAGTGTCCGGTACGTCTCCATGAATATTTAAATGAGATGTAATTGAGCTATGGTCAGAAAGGTGTAGAGTGAGTCTTCGTGTCAAACATGTTGTAGTGTGGCCTATATAATTATTTACGAATAAATTAGATGGCATGGGAAATTGTATAAAAACTAAATAAATGCACCTCGTCTGTCGTATTCAATGAAATGTGCATGAAAGAAGGATTTGCCTACACACACACACACACACACACACACACACACACACACACACACATATATATATATATATATATAGAGAGAGAGAGAGAGAGAGAGAGAGAGAGAGATCGACAGATCACAAAAAGTATTTCCATTTATTTTCATGCTTTCGTCTATATCACATTTAAACAGAGGTTCTAGTACAATCACCGAAGTTAAGTAACGTGGAACCTGGTCAGTATCTGGATGCGTGTCCACTAATGAATAGTAAGTAGTGTAATGTATATTGGCTTGGAATTGAAAAACGGAGAGCGGAGTTCCAATTCCGGTCGGGTTCGTTATATTCACTTCCGCGCAAATATACTTGAGAAGGCATTAATCTACCTCTTCTCCCAGCTATGGGTTAATTATTAGAACCTGTATCAGTATATCATATATATATATATATATATATATATATATATATATATGCTTAAAGAAAATTATTAAAATTCATTCTTAGAATTTAAAGAAAAATCTTAATCTTACTCATACCTCCATAATATAATTCCTGTAACGGTACTTTCTTCTGTCATATCTTCCATTATTTCCCCTTTAACTCTCATGGGTGAAAATGGTCATTAACTAATGGTATCTTAATTCCTATTGTAAAGGAAAACTTGGCTCTGTTTAATGAAAATAAACATTGAGCACTCTTTGTGAGTCAGTTTTAACATATTTCAAATTCTATATTGTGTTAATAGGACTCGCTTGGATTATACCATCGGATTACTATATATATATATATATATATATATATATTGTTTTATATAACAAGTCGTAAAAGACGCTACAAACACACAGTGCTTATACAAAAATAGAATATATAAAATATACTTATATTTCACTGTTTTTCGCAACTTGCATTTTTCGTGTGAATGCGCGGTTTATTTGTGGGCAGTCACACAATCATCAGGCGGTTGAAAAAGTAAAAAAAATAGTTTTAAATTTTCAAGTCATGATAAACAGTGAAATATAAGGATATTTTATTTCATACATTGTACACACACACGCATAAACGTCCACATAGACACACACACACACACGAATACTCACCTATCTATCCATCTATGAATAAAAAGACAAAAGGAAAAACTATTCTTAAATAGTTTAACACAGAAAATAGATTATATATGTGTGTGTGTGTGTTTGTGTGTGTGTGAACTATTATGCGTACACTTGTATGTATGTATGTACGTCTGTGTGTGTGAAAGTGTCATCTTAAAACGGACACAGAGGAGAATTTCCCCCTCCCGCCACCAATCATAATCAAACACAAACAAGCATAAATAGATTCAATTTTTAAAAAAATATACCAGTTTATCTGATGATCGCAAAAGCGTGAAACCCAGAGTCATAAACTCATATATATACTACTGAATATATTAGCTCTGCCACTGATATTGAGCACTTTCCAATAAGTACTGTATAATAATATATATATATATATATATATATATATATATATATATATATATATATTAAGAGTATTTTTAATTTCAAATATCAATATAAATGCAAAAGGATGTGTTTTATAGATTATACAAAAGCATTTGATAAAATACGTCACTAAGAACTCTTGGAACTGCTAAGTAACCTTGAAATATATTTGCATAAGCCGTAACCTATAATAGAACCAAATTTCCTGCATCGGATAGACAATGACTTCAGTAAATATACAAAATAGAAAGATGTGTAAGACAAGGATGTGTCGTCTTACCGGATTTATTCAACCTATACAGTGGGGTGATTATGAGAGAAATAGAATTCCTACGTAGACACAACATTGGCGATCACTGTATAAGATATGGAGATGATTCGGTGTTGATAGCAGAAACTGAAAGGAAACTATAAGAACTTCTATAGAAGTTAGTGAAGTAAAGCGAGAACAAATTAATAAAAATATATTTTGTAAGGCTAAATGCGTGGTTGTTAATAAAAATCTAGCATATAAACATACAAATTCTAAATTGGAGATACCCAAATCAAAGAAGTACAAGTATCTGCGAAGATTTTTAACCGAGGATGGCAAGTGTGACACTGAAATCCGAAGATGAATTGGGATAGCCAAAGATGCAATCCAAAAGCTAAGCAGGCTATTGAAAAAAAAAAAAGAAGAAAAAATTAGGTAGAAACAAAGAAATGAGTAATGGACTGTGACGTCATTGTTACTGGACAATCTCCTCAAAGATGAAGAAGAGGCTTGAAGCAACAGAAATGTCGTTCTACAGAAGGTTGCTGAGGATACCAAGTGCCAAACATCTTTCCTCATTATGTGCCTCAGAAATTTCAATTGTCTCTTCCTGATATTAAACCTAAGTCTTCTTTTTTGTCAGTCTTTCTAGAACTTCGTCGTTTCTCCCAGATTTAGTGCATGCTACTTTCAACAACCTAAAACTCGTTCGGATTAATTCTGAGTGAAATAAATAGTCAATTTGTTTGTAAGAATGTAACGATTGAACCAAAATTGCATGCTTATATTCATTTATTCGTTCAATATATATTTCTAGTTTCCATTTACACACCTAAAACACCATCATTTCCTTTCTTGAAGGATTTATGAACAATCAACTTCCGTTGCTATGGGTTACAGTCGCAATACCGTACTCAGTTTAATAACCATAATTGAAGGAAAGCGAGATGAAAGGACTAAACATCAACTGCAA